ATCCTTCGCACTCCACATTAATTGCTTGGTGGGTGTTTTGGGGGTTACATTTCTCTGTGGACCCCCAAAATTTTCTTGCAGATCACCAGTGGTCCCCGGCCCACTGGTTGGTCACCACTGCCTTAGAGTATAGTTCTAACCCTAAAATGTCAGTAGTTCATGAAACCTAGCAGGAGTCGTTTTGCTGTCTACAATTTGAAAGCATTTTTTTTTTTTTTTGCAATTTACACTCTGGGTTAGTTGGGATGCTTTCCTTTCTCACTCAGTAGTGCGCTGCAACCAGTTTAACTATCAGTTCTGTGATCAATAAAGACCAATTTGAACCTCTCCACCTCACCTACTCTCCTTCCCTGGTAAGGAGAACAGCTGATGCACGGTAATCCACTTTGCGTGTGAATCAGCTGAGCTGCAAAAGAAGGAAATGTAAGACAGGATAGGGTGGGGCCAGGTGGGTGGGGCCAGCTGATCGTCATTCATACCGATTCGCTATAACCAGTCCGAACTGGCAGCAGCTCACCATTGTTTTCACTCCACGACTAAGCTCAGTGCAATATTAAAATACTTCTGTAAACCGAATTAGCAAGGTTAGAAAAGTTTAGAGGCTAACATCCGAAAGAGAATTGGTTTCAACATAAGAAACAGATGGTGTCAGGAGGACATAACGATTGATGGTGCAGAAAGTTAGGAATGAAAAAAAAGGAATAAAAAAATATGGATAGTTGCATGATTCACCTATTATGTAGAGAAAAAAGAAGCAGACGCATTGCTGGAACCAAATACTTCGTTATGCAGGGTAAATGATCCAAATCTATGCAAATCCGTCATACTGGAATCTCAGGTTCTCCCTCATGCTAACTTTTTCAAGAGGCAGGGGAAATTGCCTAACTTCACAGGTTATTAACCATTTCTGCTTGATATTTAGTACCATCTGTGCAACTGATTAAATACCCTGTTTCCCCGAAAGTACAACCTACCCTGAATGTAAGTCCTAGCTTGATTTTTACACACGTGCCCAATATAAGCCCTACCCCACCCCCAAAGCCCTAATTAAGATCCCATCCACTCCAGAGTGGAAGGGTAAAAATTAAGCTAGGGTCGGGATGGGTGGGTGGAACTGCCCTACTACTTACCTTTGGACAGTTGTAGCGACTGTGGTGATTGTAAATTACATGTCTCAGAGTCAGCTTCATACAGGTCATGCTGGCATGTTGCTCCTAATAAATCTTTTGAGGTTTTTAAAAGCTTGGTTCCAGGCTTCTGATTTAATTAGGGTGATTTCCGGAATCCTGACATCAAGGTTGACAATCCAATGTACCTCTCATCCACTGAATGTAAAAAAAAAAAAACTGATGGCAGAGATTGATTAATGAATCAAACTTGAGAACAGGTCACACATACAGGTCAGGCTTTCTTTAAAAAACAAACAAATGTGGATTTTAATGAAAGAGAGAAACGATGGGACAAATTCCAGGGTTTGGAAAAACTAATGAGCAAAGGAAGTCTTAATTCCCAAGGAAGATACTAAAAAGCATAGAAAGGCCCAGAACTTTACAGTAACACTGTCAAGAAAGCTCAGAATTATCTGAGATTAGTGAAAGAGGCTAAAAATAGCACAACGGTTGTGCTGAAGTGTTCAAAGGAGAAGAATCAACGCGTCAGCTGCTAAATGAGAAGGCTAAATGAACATCCACCTGCCATAAAGAAAAATCTGAGCTGGAGAGCAGGATTGAAACTGGATGAATTGTGGTCCTAGCTGTTGGTCTGGCCAAATTATTACAGATTAACTGAGTTGGAAGGGACCTGGTAGGTCATCTAGTCCAACCCCCTCTGTCCAAACAGGTGACGCCACACCATTTCTGACAGATGGCAATCCAGTCTCTTCTTGAAAGCCTCCAGGGATGAAGCTCTGACAATGTCCAAAGGCAAAAGCTGTTCCATTGAATATAGGGTACCGGAGTTGGAAGGGACCTTAGAGGTCATCTAGTCCAATCCCCCCTGCCCAAGCAGGAGACCCCACACCATTTCTGACTGAGGGCAGTCCAGTCTCTTCTTGAAAGCCTCCAGGGATGAAGATCCCACAACTTCTGAAGGCAACTCCTGTTCCATTGAATATAGGATACTAGAGTTGGAAAGAACCTTGGCGGTCACGTAGTCCAACCCTCCTGCCTAAGCAGGAGACCCTACACCGTTTCTGACAGGTGGCAGCCCAGTCTCTTCTTGAAAGCCTCCAGGGATGGTAAATGAATTAACAGATTTAACAGAGTTGGAAGGGGCCTTGTAGGTCATCTAGTCCAACCTACGCCATTTCTGACAGAGGGCCGTCCAGTCTCTCCTTGAAAGCTTCCAGGAATGAAGTTCCCACCACTTCTAAAGGCAACTTCTGTTCCACTGGTCAATTGTTCTTACTGTCAGGAAGTTTCTCCTTATTTCCAAGTTGCTTCTCTCCTTGGTTAGTTTCCATTCATTATTATCCTTTGTCTGGCCTTTGGGTGCCTTGGAGAGTAGCTTGACCCCTTCCTCCTCTCGGTGGCAGCCCCTCAAATATCGGCATCAGATATAAATCCTTATGGGTTACCCTGGAGAAATTTTGGGGATCAGGTGAGCTGCCAAGGAGAGCAACTGTGGCTCCATCATCTTTAGAAAGGAGGAAAAAAAGAAAGTCCAGCAAATCGATCATTTGCGCACTGATAACAAATTCTAGAAGGTATCACAAAGAAACTCATCTGTAAGCACCTTCAAAACATTAGCGTAATCAGGAGAAGCCGGCAGCCAAAATGGAATTAAATGTTGTAACTATGATCAGTAACTGGATCATAAGTAGCTTTTGAGAGTCTGTCGTAACTTTGAATGGCCACTAAGCAACCAGTCATAAGTCAACTTTTGAGGGGCACATGTCATGATTTTGTAATTGGTTAGTTAACATAGTTACTTTATATTTTACTTTGCATTTTAAACATACTTTATATTTTACTTTGCATTTTAAACATAGTTGTTTTATATTTTACTTTGCATTTTAAACATAGTTACTATAATATAAAGTAACTGTTTAATATACAAGGTAAAATATAAAGTAACTATGTTTAAAATGCAAAGTAAAATGTATTTATTTTGTATTTTAAGCAGAGTGACTATATTTTACCTTGTACATTAAACATAGTTACTTTGTATTTTACTTTGCATTTTAAACACAGTTACTATAATGTAAAGTAACTATGTTTAATATACAAGGCAAAATATAAAGTAACTGTTTAAAATGCAAAGTAAAATATATTTACTTTGCATTTTAAGAAGACTGACTTTATGTTTTACCTTGTATATTAAATATATTACGTATTATATTACGTAATATTACGTAATATTATGTAATATTACTTATTATATTACGTATTTTACTTTGCATTTCAAACATAGTTACTTTGTATTTTAATTTGACTTATTTTCCCTCTTTTAAAAAAAATGATGTTCAAGCTCATTACAGATTGGATAGCCTTTAACATTCCTAAACTGAAAAGATAAACAGACTGAAGACTATCTCCAGATAAGAAAAAAGTTTGTTAGTTTATGGATGGTTGGAAAATAAAGCAAGAAATTGAATGACACTGTAATAATGATATACTATGATAGATAATGCTGAATAGGCTGAATAGGCTATAATATGAGTGTCAATTCAGTAAGATTTGGAACTTATTTTTATGGATGATTAGAAAATGAAGCAAGAAATTTAAAGACACTGTAATAAATGATATACCATGATATATAATATTGAATAGGCTATAATATGAATGTAAACTCAGTAAGAAATGTATTATTATGTATATTATGTGCACAAGATATATGTACCCAGTCGACACACCGTATAACTGAAATATGGTTTTATTTGTTGTTTTTGTTATAAAAAATTTAAAAAAATTTAAAAAAGAAAAAAGTTTCTTAGATATTCGGGTCCGGTTTATCTCTTTTGCAAACTCAAAACAGCCTTTTTCCTTACTATTCTGACATCAGATTTCATTTTAATGAACATGTGTGATATTAATTGTATGCAAATATGTAGCATGTTTGTCTGCTTAACTGATTTCCTGTGCCAAAGGGAGGGGGCTTTTATCCAGTCCAGCCAACTTTCCTCTTGCATTTGTGTGTGTGTGTGTGTGTGTGTGTGTGTGTGTGTGTGTGTTAACTATTTGAATGAGAGGATTCCCTTTTGTCTGAATATTCTGATAAAATTGTCATAAAACAATCTTCTTGTCTCCGTCTGTTCTCCGGATAGAATAGAATAAGAGAGTTGGAAGGGATCTTGTAGGTCATCTAGTCCAACCCCCTGCCTAGGCAGGAAACTCTACACCCCTTCGGACAAATGGCTGTCCAATCTCTTCTTAAACACTTCCAGTGTTGGAGCATCCACAACTTCTGGAGGCACGTCCTCCAGAAGGCCTCCACTTACGACCATTCAAAACGTGGGGCGGTAAGAAACACAGGTAGTCCTTGACTTACAACGGTTCATTTAGTGACCGTTCAAAGTTATGAGGGCACTGAAAAAAGGGGGGAAGGACTGTTTTTCACGCTTACGACTGTTGCAGCATTCCTGGGGGGTGTTACAGGAGCAAAAATTCAGAGGCTTGGTGTCTGACTCACACTTACGACGAGCCAAGTCCATGGGGGAAAGCCAGATTCGCTTAAGAGCTGGGTTGCTGAGTTAACAGCTGCACGGGATTCGCTTTAGCAACCCTGATGAGAAAAGTCGTAAAACTGGCATAGCTTGCCTCTTGCTTAGCAGCAGAACTCTGGGGCTGAAGGTAGGCCGAGGACTACCGGCAGTGGCTTCGCTTAACGGCAGAAATCTGGGGCTGAACGGTGGTCACAAGCCGAGGATTACCGGCAGCGCGGGTCGGACTAGACGACCTCGAGGGTCCCTACGTGCCCTGATCTTGCGCCCGAGCCGGAAAGCCGCTGAGCGAAGCGGCGGCGGCGGCGGCGGCGGGGAAGCTTTCCGCAGGAACCGCCTCTTGGCCGGCCGCGTCGCGGGAAGGCAGGCGGCCGAGGCGGGGCAGGAGCCATGAACGGCAGCCGCAGCGAGAGCGACTGGCAGGGGCTGGTGGGCGAGGTGAGGGCGCCGGCGGGGAGGGAGGGAGGGCCGAGGGGCTGCGGGGACCCCGGGCGGGCCGGGCCGGGCCGGAGGGCAGCCAAGGCGGCGGCCGGGCCCCGCTTGGCCTGCTGCGCGATCGCCTCGGGCCAGCCCGGGAATCCAGGCGGGCGGGCTGCGTGGTCGGGGGAGATGCCTCGGTTGGACGGAGGAGAAGGAAGGAGGAGGAGGAGGAGGAGAGGAGAAAAAGAGAGAAGGAGAAAGAGGGAAGAGGAGGAGGAGGAGAGAGAAGGAGGAAAAGGAGGAGGAGGGGAGAAAGAGAGGGAGACAGGAGGAGGAGGAAGAGAGAAGTAGAAAGAGGGAGGAGGAGGGGGAGGAGAGGAGGAGGAAGAGAGAGAAGGAGAAAGAGGGAAGAAGAGAGGGAGATGGAGGAAGGTGGAGGAAAGAGAGAGGAGGAGAAAAAGGAAGGGAAAGAAGACACCGGAGATGGAGAAAGGGAGAAGGAGAAAGAGAGAAGAGGAGGGGAGAGGAGGAGAAGGAGGGGGAGGGAAGAGGAGCAGGAAAGAGGAGGAGAAAGAAAGAGGAAAAGGAGAAAAAAGAGGCGAAAAGACGCAGGAGATGAAGAAAGGGAGAAAGAGTAAGAGAAAGGGAGAAAGAAGGAGAAAGACAGAAGGAAAAGGAGAAAGAGGGTGAAGGAGAAGAAGGAGAGGGAGAAGGAGAAAGGGAGGAGAAGGAGCGGCCTGGCCCAAGCCCTTCCATCCCTTGCTCCCCGATCTGCAGGCAGAGGGTCGCCTTCCCCGTCCTGAGAAGGGGAGGCCTCGGGGGTCCTTGTGCCCAAGCCTGGAAATCCGGCCGAGGCCATTCAGCCGGGTTTATTTCCCAGGGGCACCCAGAGGCAATCGCCTCGCAGAGTTTCTTCGTTGGAAAGGAAACAAAGTCAGAGAGAACCGTTATCCAGCGGAACTGCTCACCACTAGAAGTTGTGGGTGCTCCAACACTGGGGGTTTTTAAGAAGAGGCTGGACGGCCATGTGTCTGAAGTGGTTGGGCTAGATGACCTCCGAGGTCCCTTCCAGCTCTCTTCTGATTGATTGATATTGTTTAAGGGCAGAGGACTTCAAACTTGACAGCTTTAAGACTGGTGGACTTCAACTCCCAGAATTCCTGAGCTAACATGACTAAGGGAGGAATTCTGGGAGTTAAAGTCCACAAGTCTTAAACTGGGCAAGTTTAAAGACCCTTGGTGTAGGGTCTCCTTCTTGAGCAGGGGAGTGGACTAGAGGACCTCCAAGGTCCCTTCCAGCTCTGCCCTTCTGCATTCTATATGCTTCCTCCTTGGGAAATCGACCTGTGTGTGGTGATTGTTTGGTAACTCACAGTGTGTACTTTCTACTGAATGGCCACATGAGAACACACACACACACACACACACACACACACACAAACAATGACTGAATGTCACCTTTGTTTGCTCTGCCTCCCGTGGACTTAAAAACTAACCCAACTGGTTCCAAACAAGCAAAGCCCAAATATATATATATATTTATTTAAAAGGGGCAACAGGGAACCCAGACGTAGCAAAATTTTGGTGGACAGAGCTCTTAACTCTTTGCTCTAGAGGAAGTCCCGGACTTACGACCACCGTTGGGGTTGAAAATTGCCTGTCCTGCTAAGTGAGGCGGCCATGAAGGGAATAGCCGGCCACTTTGCCGCTTTTCTGGCCACATTCATTAAGTGGATCCCTGCAGTTGTTAAGGGAGTTGCCTGGTCATTAAGTGAATCATGCTTCCCATGGACTTGGCTTGTCAGAAGGTTGCCAAAAGGGATGCCGTTGCCCCCCTCCTCCGCCGGGGATGCTGAGACCGTCGTAAATAGGAGTCAGTTGCCAAGCGTCCGGATTTGGATCACAAATGATGACAAAGGAGCCTAAGCCACGGTTTTCAGTGTCGTTGTGACTTTGAACAGTCACTAAGTGAACAGTTGTAAGGCAAGGACTACCTGTGATTGGTCAAGGAAGTGGTGTGAACAGCCAAAGAAGGGTCTGTGTAGGATGGGCTGTATCATTTTCCTTCCTTCCATCCATCCATCCATCCATCCATCCATCCATCCATCCACCTGTTACTTTCTTGCTTTATGTTTTCCTTCCTTTCCTCCCTCCCTCCTTCCCTTCCATCTTTTCCTTCCCACCATCCTTTCCTTCCTTCCTTCCTTCCTTCCATCTTTTCCTTCCTGCCATCTTTCCTTTCCTTCTTTGTTTCTTTGTTTCTTTGTTTCTTTCTTTCCTTCCTTCCTTCCTTCCTTCCTTCCTTCCTTCCTTCCTTCCTTCCTTCCTTCCTTCCTTCCTTCCTCTCTCTCTCCTTCTGTCCCTTCCTTCTATCTTTTCCTTCTTACCATCTTTTCCTTCCTTTCTTCATGTTTTCCTTCCTTCCTTTCTCTCCTTCCTTCCTTCCTTCCTTCCTTCCTTCCTTCCTTCCTTCCTTCCTTCCTCCCTCCCTCCCTCCCTCCCTCCCTCCCTTCTTTCTTTCTTCCTTTCCTCCCTCCCTCTCCCCCTCCCTTGTCAGTGATCCAGAAATATTTGAGATTTCTTTGCTTGATTCTGCTTTCAACCCTCAGGCCGCTGTTGGCTCTTAGGAAAACGTCACACAAGTTTTGATAAGGATGCAGTGACTCTCAGGCCAGAGCAAATAAATGTTCCGAGGAGCCATTGCAACAAAAGCAACAAAGACTTTGTGTTTGCACTGCGTGTGTCCACGTCTCTCTTTGGTCTCTCTGGGATGTAATATTTAACCAACCTTCGCTTGCTATCTGAAGAGCCGAGTCACACCTGGTTAGGGATTTGGATTTCAAATCTCCAGGAAGTTCGAGACTTGGGTAGAAAATTCTCTGGATGTTGAGGAGGCCGGGAAGCTGAAAACATCCTGGAAAAATAGGATGCAAAGCGAACTTTACATTATTGCCAGAGAAACCATATGGAGGCACCCAGACAAGAAGGAAGTCCTCGACTTACAAGTGCAACAGAGCCCAGAATTGATGTTGCTAATAGAATATATATTGCACCAATGGTGGGATTCAATTTTTTTTTACTACCAGTTCTGTGGGTGTGGCTTGGTGGGCCTGGTTAGTCAATCTCTTCTTAAAAACCTCACAATGTTGGAGCATTCACAACTTTTGGTGGAAAGTAGTTCCACTGGTTAATTGTCATCACTGTCAGGAAATTCCTCCTTAGTTTTAGGTTGCTTCTCTCCTTGGTTAGTTTCCACCCATTGCTTCTTGTCCTGCCTTCAGAGGCTTTGGAGAAGAAATTGACCCCCTCTTCTTTGGGGCAGCCCCTCAAATATTGGAATTCTCCTCTAATGTCACCCTTAGCCCTTATTTTAATTAAACATACTTTTCATACTTTTCATAATTGCTGTAACCATTTGTTCTATGTTTTAGCCTCTTAGGCCCTTGATCATCTTCATTGGTCTTCTCTGCACTTTATTTTTAGAGTCCTGACATTTATTTAGAGCCTGGATATTCAGCAGCTTTCTGCATGTATGGTATCATGCCCCTGTTGGAATCTGATTCAGAGGGGGAGGCTGAGCATCTGACAGGGAGTGGGAGTGTGGCTCCATTGGCTGTGGAAGAAACTGGGGAAGGTCACAGTTTGGCTGGGCAGAGCAGGGGGGAGGTAGAACAAGGGAGAGGTAGAACAAGGGAGAGGGAATTCAGAGTAAGACCAAAGCTCACCCCTTCTTCATCGTAGGGCACGTAGGGAGGAATGGAGAAGGGAGCAACGGGAGTTGCATGGCTTATGGGTGAGGAAAGGGCCCTGATTCCCCTCATTAGCTGCAGCTGGGAACACAGTGTTAAAGGGAAGTTGTGCACAGTAAAGTTGTTGGGAGCAAATCATGAATTTATCTGGTATCATCGAGGCTTATTTGGGTTCCTGGTGTCTTCCCAACCATGTATGTTTTGCTGGGCTTTCAAGTCTGAAATTCCTTCTCCTGCCCTGTCCAGTTAATTGCTGCAGGGTGGTTTGTGTGGATTTTAAGTTACAGTTTGTGTGTTTTCGGACTGAATTTCCTCCACTTAAAGGCTGTTCCTGGGAGAGTTTTTCTCCAGCCTGGACATTGGGGGCAAAGTTGGAGATATTAAAGGGACTTTTCTTACTTATGTGACTGTGTTGCCTTTGTGCCATGCCTCTTTGGGTCATCACATGTGGTCAACACAAAGCAATCGTGTTTATGGTATCCAATGTGGTTCCAATATGAAGAGTTTTGAAAGCATTGTATTCCTTTGATGGCTTTTAACTGTAACCAGGTTTCAGGCATCCAGAGATGCTATGATTGATAAGATTTTTCAGTGCGCCAAAATTGATAGGTTGACACTAGAATTGAAAGAACAAGATAAATCAGAATATTATAAAATATGGAACACATTTTATTATTGGAGGGACAGGAAGGGGAGTTCACAAAGCTGAAATAAGAATTCAAGTTGAATAGAAATGAGGTGAGAGAACTTATACCTGAGATATAAGAATAAGAACTAAATGGTACAAAGCTTAAATGTATGTGTGTGTGCGTGTGTATATGTATATATATATGTGCATGCATGTGTGTACGTAGATATATGTATAGATATATGTAGATATATGTATATGTATGTATGTATATGTGTGTGTGTGTGTGTGTGTGGGCATATGTATGTATAAATGTTTATATCTTTTGAGCTTTTCTAATGTAAAATATATTGACTGAAATGTACGTCAAAGAAGACCACCATGTTCAATATTTTTAATGTTTATTTTCAATTAAATTTTTTTTTTAAAAAGAGATAGGACGGCTTAGGGAAGTCAGGGGAAATTGTGTGTGTTTGCACAACTGAAAAATGGCCTTCATTTAAGCTTTTTCCAGTCTTCATTTCTGATGTTTAAATTGATGTGCCTGCGTATTTTAATGGGGCAGGTACTGGGAGATTATTCCTTTGTGAACTGGCTTTATCTAGTTGTAAAACCATTTGGCGTTTCAGAATTAACTAGGTCAAAATCAGATTTATGGATAAAAATAGTGCAGAGGAAAACATTACCGTCTGATACAAAAGGAAAACTAGACCGCTGTCTCGTCATGGTCATCATAAGTCACTTTTTTCAGTGCTGTCATAATTTGGAACAGACACTAAATGAACTTTTTGGAAGTTGAGAATGACTTGCATTTTGATCCTTGGTTCCCCTCGTGGAAAAATTAAATTAAAATACAATGACATAAAATACAATAAATAAAATAAAATAATAAAAATAAAAATAAAATACAATACAAAATAATATAATATAAATAATAAAATAAATAATAACAAAAAATAAAAATAACAAAAAATAAAAATAACAAAAAATATCAAATAAACAAAATATAAAATAAAATAAAATGCAAGATAATATAATATAAATAATAAAATAATAAATAATAAATAAATAATATATAAATAAAGTAAAATAAAATAATAAATAAAATAACATAAAACATCAAACAAAGTAAAATAAAATATAAAATAAAATAATAAATAAAATAAAATCACATTAAAAATTTGGATGCTTGGCAACTGATTCACATTTATGACACTTGTAGTATCCCAGAGTCACCTGTAGTATGTATGTGTATGTGTAGATATATACTCTCTTTTGAGAGCAGGCAACAGAATTTCATTTTTCACGTGTGCCAGTGTGCTCAGAGTAAAAAAAAATGACAATAAAGTTTATCTTATCAATCTTGTTATTTCAATATTTATTTACCTATCACTCCTTCCCATAACATATCCCGGAGTTGAATCTTTAAAATGGTTAACAAACACTACTCTAGAATAATGGATCTGCAACATAACACAATAAGAGTTGGAAGGGACCTTGGAGGTCTTCTAGTCCAGCCCCTTGGAAATCTTCTAGTCCTCAAGCAGGAGACCCTATACCATTGCAGACAAGTGGCTGTCCAGTCTCCTTAAAAACTTCCCATCTTCTTGCTTTATATTACCAAGATTGTCCTTGGAAGTATCCAGCTATGTGAAATATGAGCTTCATCAATGCAGCCCTGGATCTGAAATCACATTTGTGTGTGTGTGTGTGTGTGTAAATTATTTATGCGCATCATTATTATTTAAACTTCAAACGTCCTTTCACAAATTCGTTATAAGATTGGGTTTCCAGTTTTGTTTTGCTTTTTTAAATGAGAGGGTGAAAAACCATTCTCAAACTGTGGCTCCCGCTATATTGAGGGAAGTGCCAAGATATCAAGTTGAGAATGTTTATGGCAGGTTTTCAAATCTTGATGTAAATGAAATTAGTCCAGGCTACAGACATTTGGGGTTAACAATAGCCTGAGTTTCAGTTGGGGTTCCCAAGGGCTAGGGAGAAGAGAAAAAGAGTTTATGGAAAGTCCAGTTGCTTTTTGGGAAAAAAAAAACACAAGGATTGGACTGCCAAGACGTTATGGGAAAGGAACTATAAATTAACAATATCGATAGCATATAACGAAAATTCATATAAGATGTTTCATAAATGGCACTTTGCACCAGCAAAACTGGCAAAGATATTTAAAGATAAATCAGCCAAGTGCTGGAAGTGCCACCAGACACGGAGAACATATTGCCATGTGTGGTGGCCTTGTGCAGAAGCTAAAAGATATTGAACAAAAATACACACATGGTTGGAAAAAGAATGATAAAGCAACACATAGATTTGAAACCTGAAATATTTTTATTAGGGATGGTACCTGAGGGTTACAGTAAAGAAAATCCACATTTAATTATTCATGTATTAACAGCAGCTAGAATTGTATTTGCTTAGAACTGAAAAAATGATAAGATACAGGCAGAGGGCAAAGTGATTGAGAAAATATTTGAATGTGCAGAGATGAATAGATTAACACAGGCAATTAAAGAAAAAGAAGAAACTGAATATTACATGATATGGGATTTATTTTACCAATGGTTGGAAAACAAAATAAGTTAAAATGGAGTAGATGAGTATATAGAGAGAAATAAGTTAAGATTGGTAAAAAGTAATAGATATAAGAAATAATGATAATATAGAAAATATGATTCTTGTTATATTGGTAAGAAAAGTATTCATCACAACAGTTAGCACAAGACATATGTACCCAGTGGACCCACTGTTGAAATGAAAGATGGAATTACTGTAAATATAAAATAAAAAAATTAATAATAATTAAAAAAAGGATTGGACTGCCATTTGTCAGACATTGTGTAGCGTCTCCTGCCTGAGTAGGGGGTTGGACTAGATGACCTACAAAGTCTCTTCCAACTCTGTTAATATCTGTTAAACATTTGGGATGCCCCAGGACCTGGATGACTGAGAATCTCCGTAGACATTGACACAAATCTTAATTTGGGAAACACTTGATTTTCCTTCTTTACATAGAAATGTTTCTGAATCTTCATTTCACATTGTAAGGAGCAAGTGCTAAAGTTTTGCCTTGGTTTCCTTGTAGTACCTGGTGTGTAAACGGAAACTGGAGAGCAAGAAAGAAGCCCTCCTCATTCTCTCGAAGGAGCTTGATTCCTGTCAACAGGAAAGAGACCAGTTCAAGCTTATGGCTAACCAACTACGGGAAAAGCACCAATCGCTAAAGAAGAAATACCAAGAACTAATTGTATGTAGCCAGGTTGAAAATTTGGATAGGGTCCTTCTGATAATGCAATCATCTTCATTTAATGATCTCATAATCCCTTGAGGGGTGGAGTTTGGACAATTGAATAGAGCTGAGTGTTTACTGGCCGGATGCCCTTCCTGACACAAGTGTGGAGTTTTGTTCAGCAGATATATTCTCATTGTGTCCAGAGAGAGAAATATCTGCCTCTACCTAGGATTGAACTCACAGCCTCCTAATTGCCAAGCAAGAGCTTCACCACTCTTTCCACCGCACTACTCCTTCCTTCTGGTAGTGCAGTGAGCGAGGTTAAATATTCCACTGTCATCTTTTAAATTCTGATTTTGTCCAAACCATTCACACTATTATTCATATTAATAGCATTATGCAAAGGCTTAGAGCGGAAACATTTTAATGCCTATGGTTCAGTGATACAGTACTTTACTAAAGGTTTGGTGCAAATTAGAATTTCTTTCTTCTAACTTATTTTCCTGTCCTTTTCTTTTTTCTTTTTTTAGGATGGCGATCCTTCTCTTCCTCCAGAGAAAAGAAAACAGGTAGGTTTTTTTTCTGACCAATATAATTGACATTTCCCAGTCACAAATTCTTTCAAGAAGGGAGATCTCGGTGACGTGGCTCGCCAGCTGCTAATGGAGCTGATGGCAGACTCGGACAATGAGAAGGTTGGGGAAGAACTTGGGGAAGGCTCTGATGGATGCTCAGTGTCGGATACATAGAGATAGAACCAGGGCCATCTGATAATTCCCAACCACTGGAGAGGCAGCTGCCTTTGGAGTCAGAGATGAACGAGGAGGAGGAATGGCTGGGGCCTGTTCCAGATGCACGTATGCGCAGAGCAGATAGGAGAGGTGAACAGTGGAGGACAACAAGCCAGCTTGGGGAAGCAAAACAAACGTGGATGCTGACTGGCTCCTCCCTGTCTGGGGAATAAATAGGAGGAAAGGGGAGTGGTTTGGTTGTCGCAGACAAGCATTCGCACTTATGAAAAGTTCATTCCTTGTGTGTTTTGTGGGACAGGCTGCCTTGCCAGAACTGAGGTTTGTCTATTTCTTTGACTTAATTTGCAGCCTCCTTGCTGTGAGCTCAGGCATTGCATTTATCAAAACGAGCTGATAAGGACTATTGCTTCATTTAACTGCTTGCAAGAGTCTTGCCTGGACTTTCTGTTGGTCAAGGCAGTTAATTCCCAAGGGTTTTTTTTTTTCTCCAGAGATGTGTGCGGAGGAAGAGGAACAGCTGGGGCCTGTTCCAGATGCGCATAATAAAATAATTAAAAAATAAAATAAGTAATAAGAAAAGAAAATATTAAAATAAAAATAAAATAAAATAAATGATAAGAAAAGAAAAGAAAATATTAAAGTTAAATTAAAAAAATAAAATAAATGATAAGAACAATTAGAAAGACCACATAAAAACTTGGTAGATTCACCACCCAAAGTATTCCTGTGTATTTGTGTTGCCATCTGTTGCTATTGATCTATTACCTGCGAACTAAATATGCACATATGGCAGAATGAGGGATAAAATAGTTGGTGTAATTTAGTGAAATGTTTGTGAATAAAGTAAATGAAATAAAATAAATGAGAAAATTGAATTAGGAAGGAACGGGAACATTTTAATTAGTCAATGTTTTATAAAAGATAAGTGAAGAGGGGGGAATTAACTATGGAACGTTTATAATTGTTCCCATAGAAGTATGATATTTAATTGAAAAGTAACGTGAAAAATGTTAAGACTTTAATGAATATTAATATTAATGATAGAATTGAATTGGAATGGAATGTTATCCTAATTATATACATTTATAATTTTTTCTTTTTCTTTTCAAGAATACTGTGTGTAGTTTAAGAATGTACCAAGCAGAATGCGAATAGAAGTTATGTATTACATTAAGTGTTATAGCTTTAGGGGAAAGATATAAAGGCGTCATACTCCAATCAGTAACTACAGGAGAAATGTTGTTTAACGAAAAAAGATAATAGACAATTGAAACAGGACAGACAAAAAATATAAATATAATGATCTGAATTGAGATGAAATAAATAAAATAAAATTGAGCAAAATTAAAAGAGGGGAGAAGCCATGTAGAAAATGTAAAATAGTAATAAGATATGGAATAGAATATAAAAATGAGCATGAATTTGTGCCTGTACAAAGAAATGTAACCCGGGATTATGCTGCTTTCAAAAAAGATGTTTTATTTGTATTTCTTTCTTTTTGTGAAAACTCAAATAAAATGTTATATACACACACACACACACACACACACACACACACACACACATATGGCTTGCTTCTTTTTTTTTCTTCACTTGTATGAATTTTAATTCTAGAAAAGATTCAAATGCAAAACTGATCTTTTTTTCCTCCGTTGCATCTCTGGATTTCCCTCGTGACCGTTTTGTTGCTCTTTTTCTAGGCGAATCTCACCCAGCTTCTGAGCGATTCCCGGGATCGAAATAAACATTTAGGGGAAGAAATCAAAGAATTGCATCAAAGACTGGGAGAAGTGCAGGGAGACAACAAGGTAGGGGATAAATTAAATAGAATTATGATTTATAACCGTTAGTTTCGGGTTGCTTCTGTCCTTGATGAGTTTCCATCCTTGTCCTGCCTTGGGGTGCTTTGGAGCAGCGGTCATCAACCAGTGGGCCACTGGTGGGCCGTGAGGAAATTTTGGTGGGCCACAGAGAAATCTCACCCCAAGAGCAGCCCCCCGCAAAGCAATTAATCCAGGTTGCGCAGAAACACAAGGCTGCGCGGCCCACATGGCCCTCAGGAACTCTCCCCGCCCACTCACTCTTTACCCGGTAAACTTTATTTTATTTATTTATTTTATTTTGATTTGTCAATCGCTTACAAGATAATAGGTATAAGTACATACGTAGTTATGAATACTTGAAATGGGTACATATAAGAAAAATAAAAGAAATAAAAATAAAAAAGAAACAATAGGACAGGGACGGTAGGCACGTTGGTGCACTTGTGTACGCCCCCTACAGACCTCTTAGGAAAAGGGTGAGGTCAATAGTAGACAGTCTAAGGTTAAAGTTTTGGGGGTTTGGGGAAGAAACCACAGAGTCAGGTAGAGTATTCCAGACATTGACCACTCTGTTGCCTGCTAAATTTCTATTTTTCCTTTTTCCGACCATCGACTGTTCTCTGTGCTGGGAGATTTAGATTAGCTAGAAAGCAGGAAATGGTTGGATTTCTTGCTTTCTAGGTAATCTTTAGATCTCCGGCTCTGCTTTTAAGTACAGCCAAACCTCCCTTAGGACTGAAGGTTTGCTTGCAAGCAAATTCAGTGCAGACTCGTGGCAAACAAATTTGAGAGACTGAGCTAACCGATGGCAGATAGATAGATCACTCAATGATTCTGTGAGCAATTCAGTCTGTTGCTCTTTTTTTGAATAAAAAATTCAATATTTAGATGCATGGTGTTTTGTGAGCTAATTTTGTGAGTTTGCTTGCAAGCAAATTTTATGTGACAGACTGAGCTAGCTAATGATAGATATATAGATTTCTGAATGAATCTGTGATTCTGTGAGCAACTCAATCTGCCTGCCTGCTTTGCCTGATTTTGTGTAAAAGTTGCTCTTTTTTTATAAAAAAATCAATATTTACATACAAGCCATGCCCAGCCAATCACATGACCACTAAGCCACACCCACAAATTAGGCCACACCCACAGAATGAGTTAGTGGTCCCTGGGATCAAAAATTATGAGTTTGGTGGTCCCTGAGGTCCAAAAGGTTGGCGAACCCTACTTTGGAGAATAGCTTGACTTCCTCATTTTGGGGGCAGCCCCCGAGATATTTGAACGCTGCTATCGATTCTTCTGAATTTTTTTCTTTCTTTCTTGCAGCTTCTTCGGATGACAATTGCCAAGCAAAGACTTGGAGATGAAGAAGTTGGAGCCCGTCATTTTGCTCCCCACGAGCGAGAAGATCTCGTGCAGCAGCTGGAGAAAGCACGAGAACAAGTAATGGAACGAAAATGTTCCTGCTTTGTGAATGTAGATTCTCACTCCCTGCATCCTAAATTTCACTTCTTTGTAAGGCAAGGCCCTTAAAAGAAATTCGATGTGATCCGACAGAATATCCATCAAGGCCAAGAGTTTACTTCCGTAGCCAAAAAATGCAACGAGGGGGTGTTAAAAACTAGATTTCGTGTTATTAGGGAGAGCTCGGTGGTTTTGGATGGCTATTTGACTTCAAAATGTCAGAAGCCAGATTTGCTGGTTGTTGGTTTCTTGTGTTCTTTCACCTGGGTTGCACCCGCTTTATTGCTTGAGTAGGTAGCTGTTCTGATCCAGGCTTCCCAAGATCATGAAGCCTGACTCCTCGTCCCGATAAAACCCCTTTTATTGAGGTTAAAGTGAATTCCTCTCCAGCAAAGTCCCGGCCAACAGTCTTTCATGAGATTTCACAACTAAGACTTTGATCAGGCTTGGAGAGCTGCCAGGCCGATATCTTCCAAACGCCACGCTGTAGCAGCAATTATTTGGCAAGAAGTCAGGAACAGATCTGCACCCTCATGAATTGAACTAATTGTCTCCTGCAAACCCCACTCCCCTTTCGCTCCTCTTTATTCCCTCTGGGAGGGGCCATTCACCGTCCACCTGAGCCTTTACTCCCGAGTCGATCCTTGTTCCTAAGCTATTCCCTTCCAACTTGGTCATTTTTGTTACTGAAAATAGGCAGGGGCGGGCTTCAAAAATTTCAGCAATGGGTTCTCTGCCCAGTTGCTGGGTGAGTGTGGCCATGATGGGCGTGGCCTAGCCGGCCTCCTGCACCACAGCGGGTAGGAGCATTTTTGCCCACCCACCCCCCGGAGTCCAGAGGCTTTCCTTGAGCTTCCGAGAGGGTGAAAATGGCTTCCCTGGGCTCGGGAGCCTCTCTGGAAGCCAGAAACAGGCCCATTTCCAGCCTTCCTGAAGTTCCAGGTGGCCCGTTTTTTGTCCTTCCTGAGCCTCTGTGCATGCCCTGCACTTACCTGCATCCAAAACGGGGTGTGTGGGGACTCCTGGGAGGGGCAGGGAGGGGTGAGCGGGGCCAGCCAGGAGCGGGATTTGGGGGTTTTCTGAACTGTGCAGAATCTTAGCTAGGGGGCTCTCCTGAACCCATGCAAACCCCCAGCAGCCCACCCCTGAAAACAGAGCATGGGAGATAGAAGAATTCTTGGCCAAAATGGAAGTTCTCCTGATCTTCATTAAGGCTTTTGACGCTTGGCTCTCTCGCCAGATGGAGACTCTACAGCTTGATCTTCAAGCATCATTGGATGAGCTCCAGGACATGAGAGAAGAGCGTTCCTTTTACCAAGAGAAGTCTGAAAAGTTAAACCAAGAACTGAACCACGTTCTCGGAGGACACGTCGACCGCATCATCGATATAGATGCTCTCTGCATGGAAAACAGGTGAGCTTGCTTAGGAATGAATTGTGGTTTATTTTAGGATAGGACCGGGACGTCACTGCAGAACTGAGTTTACGCCAGAAGGGTTCATCTTTGTTGCGAATATTGTAGGCCTGTGGTGGCGAACCTATGGCACACGTGCCGAAAGTGGCATGCAGAGCCATTACTGCTGGCATGCGAGCACTCGCCCAGAAAAGGTCTACTGCCACCCACCCACAAGCTGATAGTCGAGGATCAGGCACGCATGTGCAGAGGCACGGCGGCATGCAGGAGACACTTGTGCATGCACAGAAGTACGCGGCGCAGGTCACGCAGGTTGCGTGCGCATGCACAGGAGGCATGGGGGGCCCCACGTGCATTGCCTTCTGGGTGATGGCATGCGAGCACGAGCAAGCAAGCGTGCATGCGGTTATCAGCACGGGAGCCCAAAAAGGTTAGCCACCACGGTTGTAGGCGGTCGTAATGCAGCAAAAACAACGTGGAAAAAAATATTAAAGTGATTGCAAAATCAAAGATAAAAATAGCCGAATCGCTAAAAGAGAGGAGGAAAAAAATGCATGAGCCGGTTAACATAGTAAAGGACAGGTTTCCCCTAAGTAGTCATGTCCAGCTCAAGGGGTTGGTGCTCATCTCCATTTCTTGGTCGTGAGAGTCATTGTTGTTTGACGACTCTTCCGTGGTCATGTAGTTGGCAAGAATAGAATATGGAATATGGAATATGGAATATGGAATAGAATAGAATAGAATAGAATAGAATAGAATAGAATAGAATAGA